CAAGCGTGGGGCGGCGTACACCCGATTCGATTATATTATTCATCAGGATCTCTACCAGCCTACCCTATATCTAGTAAGAACTAGAACATTCGCCAAAGTACATGATAGTTCTAGAAACGTTGAGTCACAGTAGTCATGTGACTCGATGACGCAACAATATTTTCAAATGTAGTTTTTTAATACTGATTTCAGAAATATAAATTAAAATTTGGAGAAATGAAAAGAAATTTTTTCTATATTTCTTTCTATTTGAACGCGGTGCATGAAACACAAAAGATCCGCTGTTTTTAACGCAGTCTTTCCTTTAATGTTAATATTTACTTAACTGTTCAAATAATGTTTCTACACACACACACACACACACACATATATGCGATGTATAAACTATAAAATATTTATTGCTTTTTTCTGAAGAAAGTGTTTCCTTTCTTCATTTTTGAAAAAATTAAAACTAATTTTATTTATATACATAATATTTATCTATAGTTTGAAACATTTATTTTTTAAGTTTCAATTTCTGTTTTTTTTTTCAAGAACGTTTTGGTTAATTTATAATTTTAAAAGTTTTATTTCGTTGTTTCTTACAGTACATTGGGACTTTTTGCTATGCTTTATCCTGTATTCCTTACTGTGTATGAATACTACATGTTAGATGTTGTTCCAGGTCGGATCAAAATAGCGTAAGTTAGAGTTTTTTTTTTATAAACCTCAATATATATATAGTTTACGATCTTACTTTTACTCGTAAGAAACATTAACACAGATATTTAACATATACGATAACTTTTTGCACTGTCTAAGAATTATTTATTAAATACGTTATAGTATGAGTAAGAGAAAACCATCGTAAGTAAATCCCTTTCTGAGTTTAAGATATTATTTTAGTTTCTAACAGTTTATAGCCTACAATAATTAATATATAAAGGAGGTGTGCTTGTTGTTAGAGATGTTGTCTGGTTGAGTGTAATTTTTTTTTCTATTATTTACTCAATGTGTTACCTATTAGAATTTCGAATAGTCCGAAGCCGAATTAACTGATAATTTAAATTTAGTTAAATTGTACTTTGGATTTAGTATTTAAATATATACCGATATATTAGTCAATTTACGATATTTGCCAACAAGATTGATACACACCGTCTTCGTTTTTAACACAAATACGTTTTAATATACACACTTAACAATACAATTTACAGTAAACCTCAATATACTCTCTTTTATATCTATATACACACTTAACAATACAATTTACAGTAAGAACTATTACAAATAGTTATTACAAACAAAGATTTATAAACAAAAGTTTCACGAACTTACAAACAATATAAAATCTTCTTTCTAGGTTGGAACTCCCTTGATATCTTATCGAGGGTTTACGATGAGCGAGTTAATTACGAGTTGATGTAAGTACGATTCGCTGGGAAGCTAGCTAGCTTTGTCCTTGGCCACACATGTTAGTTTTTCGTACAAATACTAATGACTGAGGAGAATCCACTGAAGTTAAATAATTTGTAATGTTCAAACTTTGTAAAGGTTCCTGGTCAAATATCTGTAGTTTTCCGATTGATAAGCATTAGAAAAATCAGTTATATCTTTCGAAGTTTATAGCACACTGATTATAGCGAACTACTCTCTTTTGGCGCGTCGCGTTAGTTATATCCATAGTCGTGGGAACGTTTTCTAGAAAATCCAGATTACATAACAATACTGAGCTATATTTAAACGTTTACGTATATAGATATATTGTTGATTCCTACTCTCTAGAATCTTTTACAACTTTGGAGAATATGCAGGAGTTTTGCAATACATATCTAACACTATAAGCTACGTATGTTTTAAAATATAAACTTGATCTAAACAGCGTCGATGTTAAAATAAGTATATAATAACAAATTCGTTACAACTCCCTCCTTAGACAATTAAAAATTGGCTTTAGACACTTTTTAACTAAGACATTATATATATACATAAAAATTGGCGACAATACATTAAACATAATATAGATTAAAAAGATTACAAAACTTCAATAATAATTACAATGTACAAACACAATCAATACAAAGAACCTTATGATCATAAAATTACATAGCACTTGAAAGTAACATCAACCCCTTTGACATGGATTAACTTCAAATCATACTCTTGTAATGACAAACTCTAATTTAATAGTCTTCTGTTTTAGCCCTTCATTTGGTTTAAAAACGTCAACGGGTTATGATCAGTGTAAATGACAATAGGTTGTTGTGATGTAGAAACATACACATTGAAATGTTCTAAAGCTAACACTAGAGCCAATGTTTCTTTTTCTACTGTAGAATAATTATTTTGATGACAATTAAACATTTTAGAAAAATAACAAACATGGTGTTCAGTACCTTTGTCGTCTGATTGTAATAGAATAGCACCAGCGCCACAATCGCTGGCATCAACAGCCAATGCGAAAGGTT